TGTGTCCCTGAGCAGCCCCAAGTGCAATCATAAAGGGAAACCCTAGGGTTTCAATTGTACCAGTACTCTTGCTCAAACACGTCCAGACCCACGAAACCCCGTCTGCTTCTTCTTCTTCTTCTTCTTCTTCTTCTTCTTCTTCTTCTTCTTCTTCTTCAAATTGTTGTTGATGTTGTTGTTGATCATCAGTATCAGTATCTAGTTCTTCCAATTCGTCTTCTTCTCAATGCTCCAAATACCGATGGTATAGAGATTGAAGCAACCTACCTGGGTCTATACCTGAAAACCAGAAAAATAAAGCAACCTACCTGGAGTTGAACATTATTGTGGAGTTTCCAAAATCCAAATACCGATGTTGTCCAGAAAAATGATTTTGGAGTTGAACATTATTGTGGAGTTTCCAAAATCCAAATACCGATGTTGTCCAGAAAAATGATTTTGGAGTTGAACATTATTGTGGAGTTTCCAAAATCCAAATACCGATGTTGTCCAGAAAAATGATTTTGGAGTTGAACATTATTGTGGAGTTTCCAAAATCCAAATACCGATGTTGTCCAGAAAAATGATTTTGGAGTTGAACATTATTGTGGAGTTTCCAAAATCCAAATACCGATGTTGTCCAGAAAAATGATTTTGGAGTTGAACATTATTGTGGAGTTTCCAAAATCCAAATACCGATGTTGTCCAGAAAAATGATTTTGGAGTTGAACATTATTGTGGAGTTTCCAAAATCCAAATACCGATGTTGTCCAGAAAAATGATTTTGGAGTTGAACATTATTGTGGAGTTTCCAAAATCCAAATACCGATGTTGTCCAGAAAAATGATTTTGGAGTTGAACATTATTGTGGAGTTTCCAAAATCCAAATACCGATGTTGTCCAGAAAAATGATTTTGGAGTTGAACATTATTGTGGAGTTTCCAAAATCCAAATACCGATGTTGTCCAGAAAAATGATTTTGGAGTTGAACATTATTGTGGAGTTTCCAAAATCCAAATACCGATGTTGTCCAGAAAAATGATTTTGGAGTTGAACATTATTGTGGAGTTTCCAAAATCCAAATACCGATGTTGTCCAGAAAAATGATTTTGGAGTTGAACATTATTGTGGAGTTTCCAAAATCCAAATACCGATGTTGTCCAGAAAAATGATTTTGGAGTTGAACATTATTGTGGAGTTTCCAAAATCAGAACATTTCAACATAATCTCTTTATTGGAGTTGCATCAGATTTATGATTATGGGGTTGGAATAGGTTGCTTCAAGAGTCTCACTCTCAGGCACAACTCCAATATGTTCTGGGGTTGGAATAGGCAGTGAAATGTCCAGTGGGATTTCAAACGTTATTGTGGAGGATTTACACACTAGAGATTCAGCAGCTGGGATGAGCCAAAGACCATTTTTGTGAAGTTGATTCATTTTTCAGTGTTATGCTCCAACTTTGCTTCGAAATTTTCGTGAATTTCATCCAGGTGAGGGACAATTAGTTTAATAGAAAAAATTCCAAATTGTGAACTGAATTTTTTTTTTTTCCATTTGAGATCTAGAAGCCTTGGATGTAAGTTAAAGACCCTTTCTTTAACTACAGCCATGATTTTAGTATCAGATTACCCTTGGTATAAGAATTTCTCTGGAGAGAAATTCTGAAGTCCAGAGAAATTTGGTTAAAACACAGATAGAGAATCCAGAGAAATTCAGAATTTCTCTGGAGAGAAATTCTCTGGATTGAATTTTCTCCATCAACCACTCCTCCAGTCAGTCAATGCATCAGAGAAATTCTAGGAAGGATTGGGCTAGAAAAATTCTGAGAAGAATTAGACCAGAGAAATGCATTAGAGGAATGTTGAGAAATTCTAGGAAGAATTGGGCCAGAGAAATTCTGAGAATAATACACTATCATAGTCTCAGCTATTTGTGTAACAATGTATGCTTCAAGTAATGCTCTTATCTGATATTTCATTGCAACTCTATTCATCAATGAAACACCTATTTCACGCTTTTTAATTCTTAAATCAGTTTTGATCGACCATTATTGGCTCGATTGGCTCAACTTATCCATTATTATACTGGTTTTGTTTTTTATCCCCCCAAAATGGTCGTATATCTTTTACATGGATTGGGTGATTTCGGAAGAAAAGAATATTGGATTGCTAAAAATGAGAGAAATTAGGGGAAATGAGAAGAAAAGTAGAGAAACTCATCCAGAGAAATTTGGTCAAGAGAATCAAGGTTGAGGGACCTTAGACATTATAAAAATATTGTTGAGGGACTTTAGACATTATGAAAATATTAAATGTCCTTTATGCTATAAAATCTTAATATCAGGGAAAAAAATTAATAATAACTAAAAAAAAAAAAATTAGGGTCCAGCTTGTCTCAAGTTGAGATCAAGACTGGATCAGTCCAGTTCGGTCCATGGGTCCATTTTTTGGGCCCGTTTTGATAATCCGAACTGTTCAATGTGTAGAACTCGTCGAGTACTACATGCCTGTAAAAAATCACGTTGATCGGATATAAATAGCTATGTGATCAAATCAGTTTTGTATAAAAAAAAATGGACGGGAAAACAATTAACGGTTGATAAAAAACTGTTTTGTTCACATAGCTATCGATATCCGATCAACGTGATTTTTTATAGGCATATAGTACTCGACGAGTTCTACATATTGAACGGTTCGGATTATCAAAACGGGACCCGTGGTGGGCCCCCACGAGCCCAACAGCACGATCAAGTCCGATCTTGGACTGGACCAAAGCCACTGCCCATAATTAAAAGGGCATATGATGCACCTTTTGAAGAGTGTTGTATTAGAACTTTCCAAATTGAAAATTCAAATTCAAAATACTTACTATTTTCTCAACAATTTTCTAGATACCTTTTTTTAGACATGTAGGTCATGCTTATTTAAAGAAAAATGCTTGAGAGTATTAGAAAGAGCATTAATGATGTGGCAGTAGACTCCACCTACTTTCTATGCCTTATTTCTTTTTTTTTCATTTTCTTTTTTATTATTCCTAATATATTAACGCTATTAATAATATATTTTTTAATGGTCTAAACCAGTCTTGTTATTTAAAGGATCGAGTAGCCGATTGAACTACATGACTGTAAATTTCACCCATAGCATCTTTGGTACGTAGTGACATGAAAAGACAGATGGATAGTCCCTTTCAGTAAAATAAAATAGTTTGGCTAGATTTTAAATGAAATTAAAAAAATAATGAAGGAATTCAATTTATTTTATATATAAAAAAATATTAATTTTTTTACCAAGTGCATTTTAATATTTATTTTAATTTTTTAATATAAAAATAATTTATTAATTTATTTTATATAAAAATAATTTAACAATCTCATCACCCCCATCTCTCATACTATCATCAAAATAAACACATTTTTATTTAATCCCCTCATTAACAATTCTTAAATTAAAAATCTCTTCCCTAATCAATATTTCACTAATAATTTTATCCAACTTAAATCGCCAAATAAACATGACTGTGGTATTGTTTTAAAAACTTGGTACATATGGGGAAAAAAAGTAACATGTACACAAAAACCAGCTAGCGCAGATTCAAGATTATCTAAGCAACTGGTGGTTTCAGCAGCTAACAAAATCAATCCACACACATAATATTACTAGCCCAACAAGAACTGAGAAATTATTACATAAGTTAAAATTCATTGTCCTTTACACACACAACCAGCATATTATAACTCGACTAGTAGATTACAGAACCGAACACAAGTTCTGTAATCAGATTCTGTGCACGTAGAAGAACTGAAATCCAAACTTAAGGCATACTAGTGGTTTCTTTCAATTCCTTCTCATTTTTGCTAGTCAAGGATATTTTAAAAATATATATTTTTTAAGAACTGAATTAATATATAAATGGTTTCTTTCAATTCCTTCTCATTTTTGTCTTCTTTACTAATCTAATCCGGTGATATCAATCAAGAAACATACATTTATTTTCTTTTCTTCCTAAATTACCCAATCCAAACACAGTATAATTTAAGTATAGTCTCCACCATCATAGGCTACAATGTTAATTTTCTATTTTAGTTATCAAAAATTATTTTCCAAAACACAAAGTTAAGGAAAAAGATTTGATTTATCACCAGTTGGAGAAAAGTTCAAAATATGTTTAGTTAGACTCACGTGTCCACTATGTATTTCCCAACAATGAGTCCTATTTTGATTATGTTAGTCATTCACTTTCTAAATCCAAGTGTATAGCAATAATTGTTGCTATACAATTTTATACCTAATTTCCTTCAGGTACTATGAAGTAGAAATTTCAATCAGCGATATAGACCTCAATTGTATGCTCTGATAAAATGCATATAGAGTTGACAATTCTGAAGCAATAAATTGATTTTAATATTTTCTTATTAAAACAAAAATAATTCATTGCCTTACCCACCATGTATGAAATTTGTCACATTTGTTTCCTATTTCTCTTTTCCAACTTTCCTCTTTGTTTTGGGCTAAAATTCTACATCATCTGCTATATATTTGTATCACTAATATTCCTTCCATATTCCATTTGTTTCTTGTTTTTCCAATTCCAATGGTTTTAATGCTTGCATTGACTAAAGAAAAAAAAAAGTAAAAAAAAACTGGTGACCAAACCAAAAATTTTCCATGACAAGTGCAGGTGAGAGCTGGGATTGGAGAAACCGGATCCAAGGAGAGCAGTACACAGCGCGCTCACGATTGTGATTGCATACATCGTAGGTGGAATAGTCCCCCTAATCCCATACATGTTCATTCCAATCGCGAGAAAGGCTGTGATCGCATCAGTAATTTTAACTCTATTCGCGTTGCTAATTTTTGGCTATGTGAAGGGTTACTTCCACTACAAGAAAATTAGTTTATAACCACGCTTTTGTTATGGCGTTTTTTTCAAAAAGCGTCGTTTTAAAGGTTTTCAAAATATTTTTGTAAATAACTCATTTTAAAAAACATGCATGTTTTAGTGTACGAACGTATTTTCCCTTTTAAGACCCACGCGTTTTTCATTCTTCTATTCTATTTCACGCAGCAATTGATAGATCTAGGTTTTCTATCTCTTCATCACTCCTCTTTCTTATGTTGAAAGGTCACTAGATCGAGCTTCGTAGGCTCCGATTCATGATCTGGTTCTCTCCATCTTGGCTCAAAGCTCTCGATTAGTCCGATTTGAAGATTAATTTTGTGAGTCCTCTGATTTTTTGATTTTGTTTATATACAAACTTAGATCTACGATCTCAAATCTGTTTGATATATATTCTTTCTTATGTTGAAAGGTCACTAGATCGAGCTTCGTAGGTTCATGATCTGGTTCTCTCCATCTTGGCTCAAAGCTCTCGATCAGCCCGATTTGAAGATTAATTTTGTGAGTCCTCTGATTTTTTGATTTTGTTTATATACAAACTTAGATCTACGATCTCAAATCTGTTTGATATATATCTATATATACTAATTTATGTCTATTGATCGATTTTTAGGCAAATCTCGATTGATTGATTTTTAATTTATTGATCGCGATCGAACACTCTTCTCTGGATTTGATCAATTGATTGCTTTCGTTCAGATCTGTAAGTTTGAGTCCCTATGTGCATATTAACATCCTCAAACCGACTCTATTTCTGACTCGTTCGTGGTGATCTTTGCCTTTATGCTTTGTATGCAATTCTAGGGTTAGTCTATTGAGGCTAATCTCTATTGCGTTTGTGTACAGAGTCACAGAACCACCATCACAACTATACTGTGTCAATCTTTGCAGCGATGTCAATCTTTGCGTTTGTGCTTGAACAGGTTTGGCTAGAACAGGTTTGTCATTGATTTATTGATTGAAAAGGAATTACATAATAAAATAGTTGATCTAGAACCTGGTTTGTCATTGTTCTTTTTCTTTAATTTAATTTATGGGTAAATTATGCATACCACCTGTTTGCTAATATGCCTCTAAAAAATACATAAAATCTGTTAGTTTCTGGTTGAATGTGAATTGTGCATGTGTTAATTTCAGAACTGTGTTGCGTATAGTCACAATTGAGGCAAGGTTTTGGAGGCAGTTTCAATTCAAGACTGCTATGTAGTTCCAAATCCCCCCCTCCTTTAGGTAAAATTCTCCTTGTTCAAACACATGCCTTTCTTTTATGTCATTTTTGTTACTGAATTCAACTCTGTTAATAGATAGTTTCAGTATTTCAAAGACAAGGTAAATGGTGATTGTCGGACTTATTTTTTGTACTGAAGTAAATATTTTATCTGCAAACAAAAATGTGTTATAACTCAAAACTGTCTGTTTCAGTTTCTTGGAGGAAATCATCCTTGGGAGTGGTCAAAACTTTGTATTAGAGGTATTTATTTTAATCGTGTTAGAACTTTGTATGACTTATTGCATGAATGTTTTCAATACACGCGAGTATGATATGTCAAATAAATTATAAGGATGGGTTTTCTTTTGCTGAAGTGATCAAGAATATATATATTTTTCATTATTTGTGCATAAAGCAAATCCAATTATGGTCTTCTCCTAAGCTGAGTTATCAAAAGCTGCATGTTTACCAAATTCTGTTATTGGCTAATGATATTTTTCTTGCAGTGCTAGTTAACAATATTTTTACTTGAACTAGCCACTTGTTCTGTGCTCCTATTTTAGTAAACTGGTAGACTTTAACCATGTACAATCACATTATGACTAGTTTTCATATGGTATCTCCACTGCTTTGGCAATTAAGATTTCATTATAAAGTGCCTTTAGTCTATACTTACATTTTTTAATGTGTTTTTTTGAACATGTTAAGAATCATTGATTAGAGGAAACTAAAACCTGTTGAGAAATGTTAACAATCCTTTCTACTTTTGTTTTGATGTTTCAAAGATATGTTGTTGCTGAGGACACTTAAGTTTAACTGAAGTTTAATATCTTCCAATGTAATAGTTTTTATTTATTATTTTTTTATAATACTGGAAACTGGTTATTAGACCATGGTATTTATCATTAATGTGCATATCTTTGCTGGAGCTTTTTCATAATGGTAATTTCTGTAGGGTTGTAACCCTTTAGGCATTCGAGGTTGAAGTTGGTAGTAATGATAAAGTGTTCCTGTTAAAGTTTGTGAATTACTAGATGCTGTTTCTGCGTATGGTATGATCAATTTTATATAAGATCACAACTTATCATTGAATAGGATTGAAGGTTGGTGTAGTTAACAATAAAGTGTTCCTATTAAGGTTTGTGAACAACTAGATGCTGTTTCTGCCTATGGCAGAGCCAAGATTTGAACTCCTCATGCTTATATTAGCTGTGATAACAAATGTGGAATGGGAGCATGTAGATATCTTTGAAAATGAGGGTGATGGGTGATTCCAGTATTGAAAGCAAAATATTTATTTACTTAAATAAGGCCTTCGCTCTCTTCGTTTTAAGGTACAAATTGGGTACTTATCTTCCAATGTCGGGAGCTCAACAGAGTTAAAGGTATTTTTGCTTTCACAACTAGTTTATACAAGAGAATTCATGAAGTTTTTTATTTTTTATTTTTGAAGTTAAAGTGATAGAATTTGCAAAAAAAATATTACTTATTATGATTTTATTTTGGTTTGTTTTACCCTGGATATCGTATAAACATAGAACATTGGGCACAAAATACATATTTACTAACACACAGTGTATGATGCTGACTTTCTATTTTCTGTATGCGTGCAATGTTTTTCCTAATTCTACTTTTGCCAATTGTCATCAACTTTTATAGAAATGTTTTACATATCTTTTTTGTCTGTCTCATTGTTTATGAATCTTTAACCTACATTGCCCTCTCAGATTGCATACATGTTTCACCACTATTCTAAAGTGGTTTTAGAAAATGTTGGATATAGAATTTCCATATGATTGATGGTTGCTAGTTTTGGATTGTCCATTTATAATGTTTAAACAATATCCAATTTTGGATGTAATTTTATTGGCAATTTTAAAAACTGTTTCCACTTTCTTATGTAATTACTTAGTATTTAGTAATAAGATTGTAAAAAAAGGTTTTTAATTAATGGGATATTATTTCTTCTGACCTAGGACTTGATTTAGTTCATAGAGATAGTGGCATAAGTGGTAATCAGTTAACAAGATTTGCTGTGTAAGTTAGTTTCTGATTCTTCATGAAGTTGTTATAAATGCAACTTAGCATATGAGGTGTATTTAAGTTGAAGAACTTTCAATACTAGTAACTGATATGATTGCTTGCTGGAACACCATTTCTTATTTCAGATGTTGGAAATCTCATGGTTTCATACAACATTAGTTTCCTGTGACCCTCATCAAATTTCTCAAAATTCCTTGCAAATGCTAAGTATGATGTTATGTAACTGATAGCAGCTTTTGAATAAAAAAAAAGGTGAAGGATGGATGAAACTCTGCTAAAAGTGTGTGAGGTGTTTGTCTTGCGCTGTCAATTATAATGGTAGAGATAAAATGGAGTTTAAGGTGGACTTTAGTTTAGAGTTTAGAAATAGTTGTTTAAGAGCAAGTCTTACATAGAATTAGACAGTGAGAGGATTGCTTGCTATGAAGATTAGAACCTGTTCTATTGTTAGAAGTTTTGGAGTGTTTTTTATTTTATTTTTATTTTTTATGATGGGGATTTTGGTCAGTGATTTTGGTCAGTGATTTATGAACTGTTGAATTTTACATGATTAGCTCCGACTTTCAATCTTTTGATGGAAAGATACTAAATTTTAAAAATTTGCATTTCATGATGATGAATGGGATTTGGCAGTTTGCTATGTTTTTTTGTACATCTGATGAATGGGATTGGGCAGTTTGCTTGTGCAATGAGCCTTTTCTTGATGTATGAGTTTCAAAATTTCTTCATTTCATTGTCTATTCTACTAGGCAAATGTTTGGCTATCTGGGTTCATATGTTGCCTTTGCACTGTAATTAATTCATGGAACTGTCTAAAAGTGTTATTGTATGTTAACATGAATTATTACTCTCTTATCAGTAACCACATTTTGATGGATCCTTTTGATATGCTATCTGTTGGCTCGTAAAGACCTACCATCCACTACACGGCTGCTCTATGTACAAAGCTAGAGAAGTTGGTAGTCTTTATTACCTATTAGTTACTCATTAGTGAACTTTCTTCCGAATTTTTATCCCGTGCTTGCTCCTTATTGTTTTTATCTAACAATTAATTCATCCATATTAAACTGTGATAGAGGACATCACTTATATGTGTTCCTTGAAAATTCGGAATTCGGGTCATTATCTTCTAGCTAATGCTTTCATAGTTTAACCATGTTCTGCAAGTTAGTTGCTGCTCTAGATTATCAATGTGATAATTTGAACCACTGTTCTAAAAATCGTTTTAAAAACAGAATGATTTGTGAATGAAACTTACAGAGGGCTTATGATGCAAGCATATTCATGCATATTTACCTGATCTAATTTAATACAATTTGAACATGTTATGCAAATCGAAACTCATGACTATTTGGCAAAATTTTTCCATGCAATTATCCAGTTTAACATCTTAATTGATTTTGATAGGGACATGTGGGGCTACATATCTTTAGGTTACTTCAAGCAGGTGAACTTTCTGATATATTTGTGAATATGTTGCTACTGGTTTTCCTCTGCTAGAACTTATGTTTTTTCAAGTTCAAATGTCAAGCAGATAACTAAGGCTGGTGAGATTGGGTCCTCGACTATGCCTCATAAAGTAAATCCCATTGATTTTGAAAATAGTGAGGGCAATCTTAGGAAGGCTAATGGAGGTCTATCCCATTTAAGCATAAAATTACCTATTTCTCGTTGGCAGGTAGAACTCTCTCTCTCTCTCTGACTTCTTTGCAAAGATATATGAAAGCTCCATTTTTAGTAAACATTGATTGGTAGTTTTTAGGCACCAAAAGTGCAGAATGTAAGATTATGTCACTGGGAAATTATGATTTCCTTACCATATTGCATATCCAAGTCTGTATATGCCAAGCCCAGTAAAAGGAAGGATTTTGCTAGTTGTTAATAGTTTTGGTCATCTAATTTTAGTGGTGATAGAGTGAGACATGCTAGAAAGCATACTCAGCCAAATATAGTTTTTTTTTTAATATTATATATTTTATAAAATTTAAAAGCATACTCAGCCAAAGGGATTTGTTTGGGCACAAATGAAACTGCTGCCTATAGGCAAATGTTACAGGTACTTTTCTCTATGGACTATGTAAATGTTACAGTTACTTTTCATGGGTTGGAATTAGGTGCATGCATGTTATTTTGTAGATAATAAAAGTAAATGGTGATTTTTGCGGGGCTTAATAAAAGTAATGGTCATTGGCTAATAAAAGAATGCTGATTAAAGTTTGAAGGATATTTTGTGGGGCTTTTTTCACTCCTATCCAAGCCATAGAAGAGACTACCATCTTTTTTCACTCCTGTTCATGAACTTCTTTAATTAGCTCATTGCTGAGGTCTTGAAAGTATATAACTCAATGATTTTTTCCTTGTGCTGATTACAGGACAACTTGCTAGGCAAGTTTACGAGAACATTAGGAGAGGCTTCTTGTCTGAGAATTCAGAGAGATTTTTGAATGCATCTTGCTAGGAAAGCTTATAAAGAATTGTGCTTCTCTGCTGTTTCTATTCAGGCTAGCATGCGTGGAATGGTTGCACGTGATGAGCATTGCTTCAAAAGGCAGATTGGTTTTTATGGAAAGTTTTCATTGCTGTATTCTCTTAGACTACTTGACTACATGAATTGTGGATTTGGATGTATTAGTAGGAACTCCAACAATTTATTTTTACACTAACTTTTATTCAACTGAGTTCTTTAAAATTACCATACTATAAGCATTTATAATAATGTTTTTCTTTTGCAGAGCAGTTTGAAAATTGTTTCAGAATCTCTGAATACTTCTTGATGGGTTTAAAGTTAGCACAATTTCAAAAAAAAAAAAAAATGAAAAAGGATATCACGGCGTTTTTCAAAACGCCGCTTAAACCCTAAATCTAACGGTCATCTGTTTTTAAAAAGATACGATGGCGTTTTGAAAATGTCGCTAAATATCACAGTGATGTCATGGTACTGTTATTTAGGACATTTGGCGGCGTTTTTAAAAACGCCGCCTATACTAATATCACGACGTTTTTAAAATGCCACAAAGCTATAGTGACAGCTGCATCCTCGGCGTTTGGTGTTAAACGTCGCAAAAGGAATTTGCGGCGCTTTTGACACTTATAGCGGCGTTTTTTAAATGCCACTAAAGTCTATTTTCCAACAGTGTTTACTGGAAATAAACCCATCAAGAGTGCGCTGCAAAAAGCGTTGATCGAAGTGGTTGCAACTGCAGCTGCATTTGGCATGGCCAAGGCTGTCCAAGGAGGATAGTTAGTCCCTCTCACAAAGTGAATGCCTAAATAAATAGCTCTTTTACCGAAGTTTTGAATTCTATTCTAGCTTTGTATTGAAATCCAGAACTGCTTTCAGTGTGATTTGTTGTTAGGTTTATTTTTAATCATGTTTGAAGCAGATTTATGAGGCAGGCACAGGTCTAGTCCTGGCTGGTAAAACGTTGATTGAATTATGACCAAAACAAAAAAGAAAGAAAACAAAACAAAACAAAACGAAGAAACGTGAAAAAGGATACAGTAAAAAAAAGAAA